AGCCAATAAAATGTGGTTGTCTAGTTCTGTTCGACTGTCGGTTCCGTAGTCATTCTCTTCCCCAGGCCCCAAGCGACCCTTTGTTTTGGCAAAAACCAGCTTTTTCTTTTTGGAAAAGGTTGCGAGAGTGAAAAAGTTGTTACGACTAACAAGGTACAGTATGTTTTTATTTTCCGTTGCCACCATCCTCTGGATGAAAAGATGGTGACATGATGTACATTTAAATAGAAGCAGGTTTAGCAGAAACTGGGTGGAAAATAATACATTTCCCTTTCATTCCCAAATCTCAGTAGTAATTCTCCTCACCATCTCTTGTACAATTCTTATTTTAGTTTAGAGAATTTGGCATTGGATCAACCAATAATCCCTAATTGAAATTTTTCTTTATTGTCATCACTTGTCTGCTTGATATTGTTTTGATATTGTGAGGAGAAATTTTGTCTTGGTCACTTATGGGAGTTAAAGGTTTACATTGACTTAATGAGATAGGATAATTCTCAACCAATTCTTTAAATTAACAAAAAAACGAACAAACTATAATGCTGATAAGAAATGTTTCTTTTCTATTGCTCACGTTTTCCAAGGTAGTGGCTAGTGTTAAAACTATTTCCATGCATGGCTATCCTGAACAAATGAAGTAATAGAAGCCACTAAAGAACTGATATTATCTACTCAACATTCCATCTATCAACATCATGATCAGGCACACAGCCAAACATTATTCTTTAAGAAAAAGTTCAACTGGGATCTCTCTCCATGCTCGATCGATCCACCGCAACACCATCTCTTTACTGGGCGCTCGCTTCTTTCCGGAAGGCGTGTAGGTAAATGGGCCGTTAACCATCTAGGCTTCGTACTGTGCACGGACCTTTGCTTTGAATGGCTTACTGATGCACTTATCCAGGAGCTGGAGAACTGGAGTGAGCCCACCGGGAATTACGGCGGTATATTGACCAAGACTCTCCTTGTAACACATGAAGGGTTAAAGACATTAGATTTAATCCTAATAACATCAATGGAGATAACTGAATTGAAATTCCTTACGTGTGGATGCCTTACTATCAAGAAACATGATAGCCGATAACAAAGTGAACCTACTAAGGGAACAACTTCCATGCAGTTCTCAGAATAATAATAAGGATCAAAATGCACCAATGACAGCGCACCATAACCCACCAATCGCATAAAACCAAGGTGTTACAAATAGCCACACAAAAACTTTCAACTTCCTTACCTGACGAAGTATAGCAGTAGAAACATTGCAATCAATGCACAATTGATTGCGGCTTGAATCTTACATCTTGGGGCAAATGATTAAATTTCAATTCTCAATAAAAACAAAACTTTCTATAACTTTCCATAGCATAGGTAATGGTAAAACAGGGAGGATAAAAATGATTTAAGAAGAAAATTGTATTTGGTATTTTAGTCAGTGAGTCAGTGTCTTTAATAGGTGTGGTGCAAGAAAATTGATGGATTTAAATTATATGGATAATAGTGTTGTTGTTGTTGTTTTTTTATTAACTGTCAAAGGGACACTCTTGTTTGACCTTGATTAGTAAATGATGGGTGGCTATGGTTTGAGCTCTTACCCAAGCCAGAGTTGAGGGAGAGGCTGGTTAGGTTGGTAGGGGTACAAATGTTTAGTAATTAAACTCCTTCAGGTGGCTGGTATATCGGCTGATAATGTACGCCACAGAGACATTGTCCAAAAAATGAGCATTTGACCCAGAAGCAAAGCTTTGAGGGCAAATGTGACATTTCAGGACAATCTCTTGGCCAGGTAAATTATTACCTGACATACCAGTAGGGCAGAAGCGCGTTTATTTATTTTATGACCCTCCCATTAATTTTTGCTTTGCGTATTGACAGCAATTTTTTGGACTTTTTTTGTACTTCCTAGAGCAGCATTTGAGATCAGATTTTTAATTGTAGTACCTGCTGAATTTACAAAATGAGTTCGTTTTTATTCCAGGCGAGTAATTAAGATGAAAAATATGAAACTCTTGAGACAGCTCTTTTATGCTGGCTTTATTTCTTTCCAAAGGAAAAAAAGGAAGACAAATATCGACGTAAATGGGGGTTATTGTAGGATAACTATCCAGTGATTTTGTACCACGTGACGTAAAGTAGCCGATAGAGTCGCGTGAATTTTATGTGTAAGTTATAAGGTAAAATATTTTGATAAATACAATGTATGTGAGAAATATGACCTTTCACAAACCTTTTTAGGGAGGCCACCTCTTGCACAACTAAATTACAGAGATGCCAACCTCTGGAGATCTCAAATCTGGAGATTTTTTTTCAGACTAGCACCCCCCCCTCCCCGACCGAATTCGTCAATGCGGCCCCTCCAGAAAATACCTTTTTTGATTTGGACCCCTACAAGCAATTTTGCGAGAAAAACGTGGATATATCTGTCAGGGTCTTCAATTGGTTGAATACTCATCCAATCAGACTCTCACTTATATAATGGAGGGGGACAGGGGAGCGGGAGCCCGGGAGAATGGGGGACGGGAGAGGGCAGGAAGCGGGAGAACAGGGGGCGGGAAGCGGGATCTATATGAGGGTGGGAAGCGGGAGCAGAAATAAAGAAAGCAATAGTTTGTTCTTTATTACTGGGTATTATTCAGTCAAAAACACTTATCTAGCAAAGTTTTGAAATTTTCATTTGACATCCACCAATGCTTAGAAGAAAATTTTGCAATAGTTTTACATTACACAGTGGACTGACACGTTCGTCTCTATAACGAGATGTCAGAAGCGATGGTCAAACTGTGATAACCAGGTTAGTGAAACTTAGTTTAATTAAGAAAACTGACCTGTAATAACTTTCATCGGGACCCAATTTACAAAAAAATGAACCAGAAAATGAACAAGCATGTTAAGTTTTGGCACAGTTTGAAAGTTACACCCGGGTGTCTGATCCTCTTGATTAAGCTGAACACTGGAGCGATACTATGAAGGGTGGGAGTCGGGAGGTAAAGGGGCACAAAAGTACGGGAGGCGAGAGAACGTGGTGCGGGAAGCGTCTGTCTCTCCCTACCACCCCCGCCCCCTTTCCAGGAGTAACAAAAAAGAAACTTTCTTCTTTTTATTCGCAACAAATAACGTGCATCGCGCAAGAAAGTGAAGCCAGAAACTGTAATACAAGCATAAGAAGCCAGATGATTTTAGAATTTTGGAAGATATGGAGCTTAAATCTTAGTTTTTTTGCGGGCAACTGATCCAAACTTCCTTTGATCCGGGAGTTTTGGTCACCCGTAGGGAAGAGCGGGAGATTGTATAAGGGAGACACTCCGATAATCCGAGGGAGTTGGCATATATGAAATTAGAGGCATTTGATTTCCACAAAGACTTTCCTTTCAAGCTTCGACGCGACTGCGACAAAACACCATATACCCGTTTAAATTTTAAAATTGAGGTGGTCTGGTAACTACTATCATGGGGAAATGGCGCCTTTGCTAATTTTAGTTTGTTTTGAAATTTTGCGCCACAATTTTCTCGTCGATCGGGTGATCGGTCAATCAGTTGTACTCTCGTCGACTAAAGAGGACCATTTAATTCTGAGGAGAGTTTTCCGTAGCTGAAATGTCGAGTTTGGAAGGAGCTTTTGCGCCAATTGCCATCCAAAGGTATGCGACTCTCCCTCGGGGATCGATGTTTGACTTATTTTGTAAGTTTCTCTGACACTCGGCAATTTGACTTCCACCCCCAATTCCTTTTGGTTAAGAAGTCGAGCTTTTGAACTGTAGAAAGAGAATATGGGAAGATTTCCGCATAGCTTTATACTTGGATAAAGAAAACAATAGCGAAAACAATAGATTGCCTTTAACACCACGGCTTTATCCAAGAATCATGAGTATGGAGTTTTTCGGAAATCTCCGACTTTCTCTCACACAATCCAAAAGGATCCATGTCTCACAAGAAAATTAAGGATAACATGACATCGAAAGATTACTGCAGCAGTCATAGAGATGATGAATTCTTCAGTACCACTGTTGCTTATCAAGGATGAGAAGTTTGACTTCGGAACCGCAAGCTTTGATCGGGTTAATCTAACACATCCATGAAAGGCAGTCTAGGACTGCTCGTGCCTTCTGTTGTATAGTTGTAGAGTATTGCAATAATAAACCTAGTGTGGTTTAAAATGCAGAGGGTTAATGAAAAGCTCATGTGGATGTCAAACTTGTGACAAAGGGAGCTTAAGTCAAGAGTTTGTACACAGGTCAATTGACAGGCTGGGGACAGGGAAGGAATTTAATAGAATAGGTACACTTATTAAATGTGCATCAAATTTATTTCACTTCAAAACTTCACATCTAGTCCACTTTGCATACCTGGCACTATGGATAATACCTACTCCTCTAACTCTGAAAGTATTAGGTTTGAGCCCTGGCAACATCAACTTTTTATTTGTCTTTTTTTTTCTTTTTTTTTTAAATTTCAATTTATTAAATTATTTTTCAAAGGATTTGCTGAATATGTTCAGAGTAAATGCACATGTGTGAATGTGTGATGACTTAGCTGTTATGTTCAAATCGAAAACAATGTTAAAATAAAGAGGTGAGACCCTGAAAAAATTTAACTAAACCCAAAAAAAGTGAATACGAATCCTAACAAACCTGATTAGATCCGTTCCATGATGGCCAGTGTCAGAACTGAACCAGGATGGGTCACAAGAGATGTAATATGAGTGTCTCACAATAGTCCACCATTTTGAAAACTGTGCAAGGTTTGGGGGAAGGTTTACAGATGTACAGGACACCATGACATAGTGTCTATGGCCCTCCTAGAAGGATTGCACAGTAGGCACAAAAATGGTGGCTTTAAGTGCATTTATTTCTATGAGGGACTTCCATGTATCAGTTGGCTATATTTCAACCTCTGAGGCAGAATTTTCATCCCATAAAATGAAATGGGCCATTAGATTAACCCAGGTATTTCAAAGGGTGGATAGCCTCTATCCAATGGTTTAATAGCTATTCCGTGGATAATTGTTTTATAAAATGTATTGCATTATTCAATAGATAGACATTTATCCAGTTAATAGACATTTATCCAGTTAATAGATATTTATCCAGTTAATAGACATTTATCCAGTTAATAGACATTTATCCAGTTAATAGTAATATCCACCTTTTGAGCAACTGGGGCCAGATGAAAAATTGGGTGTAAGGTCTTGAGGATAATTGAACAAACCTGAAAATGCTCGTCTGCATGTACTGGTTGCGCAAATTGAAACATGCCCCAAAACCCTATGAGTATAATGATGGTAACTACTCTATGCATAAATAAATGTTATCCTGCATTCACACATTCACAGTTCAGTTCTTCTAGATTCACACATACTACATTTGCAACCCATGGTGCCACACACAATTGGAATAATTTAAATGCTGAGTGAAAAACAAGAAGAAATAATTTTCTGCCCTTACTATTGCACATAATTTATGTGCTTTATATAAAGAACAAAGTGGGATAGATAATTACTTTATTTATTCTGAATTTCAGGGGAACTGGCAGCTATTACAGAGGATATATTAAACCACCTGAAGGATTTATCAGTACCCAACTGTCAGGGGGACTCAGGGTACTATATCAAAAGCTTGAAGAAAAAAACAAGACTTGTGTAAGGAAGAAACTCTACTGCTCAGAGCGGCTACAATACCAAAAGGTTTAGTATGATTCTACAGTGCTGCCAATTTCACTGCCATTCTCCTAAGTTCTACTGAGTAAACAGGGAGATTCACTATCAGCTAACTCATCCACTGGGTGTATTTTGGTACATATTACTAGTACAACTCTTTACACTTATTTGAAAGGAGGCAAACAATAAGAAAAGTATTTGAATTTGCAAATGAGTCAAACCTCTCATTAGAAGATTAGGAAAAATCCTTTCTGTCATTGGGGGAAATCAAGTGGGGAATTTCTTGCATACTGTTCAGAAACCAGACAAGTCACGTTTCAGTCTTAGCTGAAAGGATAAGTGGATGATAGATTTTTTATTTTTTGATTTTGAACATGAGGATGGTTGATTATTACCGCGCATCAGCCCATGACTCTGCAGCCTAGTTTTGATTTGTTTTAATTATGTAAAAATCAACACAGGAGAACCAGAATGTGTACACACATTAGCTGCGATGACATTTTTATTTTTATTTTTTTTTCTTTTGTGCTCAGTATTAGCATCACAGACTGGCAAAGATGGTAAATTCAAGCCTAATGTTACCCAGGTAACTTCTCTGTTTCAGTTCAGTAACTGCATCAATTACACTGAAGATTTGCAATCATTATAAAAAAGCATGTTTCTGTAAAGCTACAGTTATCTTGTGAATTCAAAATTTAAAAACAGTAAATTAAAGAAGGTTTTTAAGTATGTGTAGTTTGGACTAAAGAAATATGGCACAAAAATAAATTGTTATGGCAAAATTTATCAAATCAATACATTTTTTTTTCAATTTTAATTGCTATTGATTTCTTCTTTATAATTTTCTTTCTGGTAGTTCCATTGCTTGCTGGAAGATACAAATTTATTCAAGTTATTGGTGAAGGGGAATCATCACTCTTAATTTCAGCAGAGGTAAGGTATACAAAATGCACATATACAGACTGGAAATTATGTTTTTTAATTACAGTGCTGTAATTGTCTCTGAAAATACCAGTACCTTGTGTTATACCTGTCAACTTTATACCTATATTTATATGAATTTTTTCCCAAGAGTGTTACTGCTACATCACTTTCTGACAAACTTATTAATTACTTTCAGCATAATTGGTTAAAGACTTGCCACTGAACCCTTTAACTCCCAGAGGTGATCAACAAGAAACTTCTCCCTTTAATGTTTGTACATTGTATAGCAAACAGGTAATGAGATACTCAAACTGATCAGGATAAAAGTTGTTGTCTTGATCTAACACCAAATTCTAGTAACTAGTTGAATAGAAAAGATGTAGCAGCTAGAGGGGAGAATTAACAATCTGATCTAAGGAGTTAAATGGGAAAAGACATTCAAAGGTGTTTCAAATGCAATTCAGAGGTGTATCATATGTTTCAAGATAACCTCTTCCATAACTGCAAAGGTCCATTCCTTTTAGACACAGCCCAAAACGTTTGAAACCTTAAAGGGCCTGTGCTGCTTAATTCCATTCTCAGCCTCTATTATAAACAATAGTTTCCTCTCTGGTGATGGAACTTATTTTGTGATTGGACCAAAACTGATCAGTTCACTCCACATGCATGTATATTCACCAGAGCTTACATTCATCATAATTTTCTTTGTAAAGGATACCTACCATTTTTAAAAGAAGCAAGTTGCTATAAAGATAGTGAATTTGGATTAATCCAGACTTGGAGCTCAGGTGCATTGTAAGTGTCTATAGAGTTTAATATGCATACAGCTGTAAGTGATAAGGTACATTTCAGATAAGCAAGCTACAAATGAATCTGTTATATGCAGATCTGAGAGTGCTGCTGAAACTGTAACTACTGAAAAGAGCTTGCATGCAACCATGTTTACTTTGACATGAGGTGTACATTGTCAGTGGAAACTGTACATGTACAAGATGTAGAGTACATGTACATGCAAAGATCTTTGGGCTGATTTCCTACAAGGTAAATTAGGTTAACTTACTATCCACTTTGTATTACATGAGTTTACTTTTTATTTACAAAACTGTTGTAGGAGGCAGATTGCATTCAACAGCTCAACAAGGCTGATCCTCTTCATGTTTCCAGAACTGTCCAGTTGTTTGTAAGTCATGAATCCAATCCTTTTTGAGTACTGAATCACATGAAACAAAATATCTGCTTGTTGTTAAATAGGACTGATTTTATACAGTCACGGTAAGTATCACTCCACCTTTTTGATACCATATGAAAAATCATAAAAAGAGAAGAAACTGACCCTACTGAAGGACAAAAATGATGTAAACTCAACAGTATTAAACACCACTGGCCTTAATTGACAAGGCAATTCGACCAATGACCTTGGATTGAGAATGGTGAATGCTTTACCTTTCATCCATCAACTTGACAGAGTGGTGCAAACTAGGTTTTTTGCATGTCAA